GACAGCTTATGAAACCCAGAAAGACATGGGCTTCTTTAGAGTCTGTCTTTTCCTCTCCTCCATCTTTTCTCCTCCCTTTCTTATCTACATCCCCCTGTCTCTTGTGAAGCTTGGCTCCTGGCCAGAGCACGTGTTCCCCCACGTCCCTGCAGAGACTGATTGAAGTGAAATTGGCAGATTTACAAGGGGAGGGAGCTGATGAAGAGTGTGCTGGCTCCTAAACAATAGGCAATTTATGTTGTATTCTTTAATGAATGAAACATTATTTATTTACCCACATGTGTACTCCAATACCAGCAAAGGCTTTGGGCTATTACTATTATTCTGGGATATGTTTCAGTGATAAGATAGTACATTCAATTTAACAAAGCTTTATTTGAGCACCTCTCATATACAAGGCACTGTGCTAGTGAACCAACAAAATTAAATGTAAATTTTTTTTCTTCTTTTTCACGTAATTCAAGAAACTAGCCATCATAATGAATACTTAGTTGTGTGGTCACTTGCATTACAAAACACCAAGTCATAGCATAAACTCTAGTAAATCTGTTCTTGGTTATCCGAATGCTCTTTTTATCTGTGGCACAATTTCTTTTTTTATGATTTGGTACCCTGCCTCCAGTCATGCCCTAACCAAGGATGGATTTTTTGCCATCTACCACAAGGCTACGCCAGTTGATTAGATTAGTTCTGTCTAATCTAATCAAGTAATACTTTTTATCTCAAGCCACAGACTTTCAAAACCTGCATATAGCATTTGCAGTTTCAAATATGCAAGGGTTCTTCAAAAAGATCATGGGAAGATTCACATTATCTTTTAATTCTATTTTTTCACGAACTTTTCGAAGTACCCTCATGTTTTGCTATTGTATTTTTATTGTTACAATGATTAATCTGATGTAAGCTTGAATTTTTTTCAATCATGATATTTCATTGACAAATTTGATGGCTATCTAAGATCTATTTTTCTTGGTATTTACTTCATTGTATGAAATATTTATTTACTTGGGTTACTTCAATCATTATTTAAAACATTCCTAATCATTAAATACTTAGAAAAGTAGAAGTTTATTTGAATAATAAAGGTCTTATATACATGAATAATATTAATTTGGTGAATTTTAAATGTCTGGGGTGGAGGTAACATACTTAAATTTAAATCCTTATGTTTGTGTAACTAAACACAATTTTAGAAAAGGAAATAAAGTGAAGGTGATATTATGAAGTTAATATGGCTGTTTAAATTACCTGCCATTTTACTCGGTGTTTTCTAAGTAATCATTATTACCTTTTATTACTATTTCAGTTGTGTCCACCAATAAGTGGTTTAGGAAAAAACATTATAATTTAAACATAGTTATTGGTACTGATTTGCTTTAACCAGTTTTTTTTTTTTTTTTTTTTTTTTTTTTTTTTTTTTTTTTTTTTTTTTCC